GTACAGATAAGTACGGGTTCTCCCGACTCCTGGCTCCGGATCGCCCCCAAATGTGTATTAACAGACGCCATGAAATTAAGGGCGTCGACACCTCTCATGCTTGTGTACTTGCTGGATTCCGTGTGTGGTACTTTGTAGATGTAATTGACACACACTGACACGAACCCTTGAGGGTTACGGCTTGATGCACAAGCCGTGTGTATACCAGACCAGATACAGAGCGTTTCCCGAGGGCTCCTCATGCCCCTTGCCCCGCGTCCTTCTGCCTCAGAGGCAGCTGGTATCCTGCTGTCTCATCCGTGATTGTGTGCGCTGTTCCCGAGCCTCCTCTCTGGGGAGTCACAGAGTTTGTACAGAGACCAAATTCCCGGAGCCGGCACAGTGTCTGGCACGTGGCAGGTGCTTTATCCCCTGTGCAAGAGAGTCCTGGTTCTTAAGCTACTAGGAGAGGGCGCTGGTCCTGCTGGGGAACGGGCTGTGGGCCCTTAACGCCCTTCCAGGGCACAAGGCCGATGGCGTCAGGAGTCCCGGGCAGCCCAGGCTCCCTCACGCGGAACCGAAGGTCCGCCTGACGCCCTGCTCCCCCCGGGTTCCCTTCAGGGAGCTGGTCTCAAGACCCTGGGCAGGCAGTGCCCCCTGCTGCCTGCAGGCCTGCCCCTGCCCGCTCTCCTCTGTGGGGCTCTCAGGGTCACACAGAATTGGAACCCGGTGCTGTCGCTGGCATAGGGCAGGGGCTAGTGAAAGGAGAGTCCCCTGCCATTTTATTTTCCTTTGCAAAGAGGTTTTCCTGAACTTTGGGTGCTTTCCTTCCCCAGAATAACCGACAAAGGGAGAAGAGGCCTGCTTTCCTTTTGGTGGAGCACTGCTGCCCCCAAGTGGGTGGATGGGGACATTGGCACAGAGCGTGACACCCAAGCCGGCCGCTCTTTCATGTCTCAGGTTCTGGGGTGCCCCGCACAATCCTGGTGCACCGGCCCTGGGAGGCGGACGTTCATCTGGGGTACCGTCCTGCCTTCACGCTCAGCCTAGAGTGGAAGCCGGCCAGCGTGGAGCTGCTGGTGCGGATGGCCCTCGGAGAGCCAGCCCCAGCCACGTGTGGGCAGGGGTTGCCCCGCACCTGCCCTGCCCACCCGGGAGAGGGCTGGACCCGAGCTCGGCAGGCCTGTCCTGTACTCGGCGTCTAACGAAGTCTGATCTTAGGGCGGCAGAAGTGGGGCGAGGGCGGTTTCCCCGCAGCGGCGCCTCCCGGCCTGCCGCTCCGCGTGGGTGCGGGTCAGCGGAGGAGCCCGCCAGCCCCGCCCAGGGCGGCTGCGCGGCCCCCTTGCTGCACCTGTGGCGGCCGCGGTGTAACGGCTCGGCCTGCCTCCGCTCGGCACGTGGCCCGGGGCGATGCTATCTCGAACTCTGTATTTTTAACTTTTCTTTCCAGAGGATGTGGCTTCTGCGGGAAAGCTTCAAAGGGCGGCCTATTTGCCCCTGTAAGCAACCGTGACGTGGTGGAATGGGAGGGGGCCGCCCTGCCCCACACCTGGGGGGAAGGGGCGACGTTCCCACTTCCTGTTCTACTTCTGGCCTCTGAGTCAGTGTCTGACCTGCTTCTGGATTTCAGAACAGCTCCGTGTGTGACACCAGGAGGAAACCCTGTGTGTGTGTGTGTGTGTGTGTGTGTGAGAGAGAGAGAGAGAGACCCTGTTTCTAGCTGGCCTTTGCAGAGTCCTGCAGCCCCGGTGCTCGGTGTACCCATTAGCCAGAGGGAGCGTGCGGAGCTCGCCGCCTCGCCCTCACCCGTCTCGGTCAGGCGCCCTCTGCCCACCCTCTGCTGGAGAAAGTGGATGGGAGACGGGGTTAGGATGGGTCACAGGCCGAACGTGGAGAGAGGCGTCAAAGTGACCTTGGTGTGGTCCCCGTGACAGGCGCTCAGACTTCCGGAGGCCTGTGTGCCTCCGGAGAGACGGTTCCCTCGGCTTTATTGACAGAGGAGTGCCCGCCTGGGACTCCCCTGGCCAAGGGGCCACCATGCAGCTTTTGTTTTTTCTGATAGTTCTTGCGAGGTGCTATTAGCTTTTAGCAAAATGGAAACAGCGGCTCACCAGCGGCCTCCCCTCTTAATCTCCACCTTTCTTTCTCCCGTGCATCCGCCCCTGCACTCAGTCCCTCGCTGGTGCCTGATGGCGACCGCCCTTCATGCTTCCCTTGGTGGCATGTACTGTATGCCCGGCACTGTGCTGGGTACTGGGGGCACCGGGATAAGCGAGGCACACTTTGTATCCCGTGGAGCACACGTTTGAACCAACTTCCTCGCTCAGATGTTGCCCCCACGGTTGATAATAAGTTGACAGCAGCTGGTTTTATGAGTGAAGCAAACAAATATCAATCTTCAGATTCAGGTGGCTGCCCCTCCAGCGGTGGCAGTGGCAGGGGACCTCTCTGTTGGACCGGGAGACCCCACCCGTGCTCCCGCTAGCCTGCCCTTCTCCTCCCTGGATTGTGGCTCCACGTGCTTTCGGAGGGCAGGCCCCTGTGGGAAGGTCGGACAACCCTGCCAAGTCTCAGGCCTGGGTCAGGGGAGGTCATTTGGTTCATTTTTCTGCGTCCTGAGTTTTAGGGTCAGTAGGGCATCTGTCCGGAGAAATCCATTCTGCAGCCAGCTCTAGCATGCTGGCTACTGGGGCCTCAGCCCTTCCTCTCTGAGCCAGGGTCCCGGGTGGTCAGGCTGCGGGAGTCCTGGCCCTGTCTCACGGAACTGGGACTGCTCAGGATCAGATCTCTGAGTTCCCTCAGCTGCCTCTTTTCTCCGGGCTGAACAGTGGCCTGTTCCTCCAGGGATGAGCTGAAGTGGCCCGAGGCCCAGAGCTGAGCTTCACAGCTGGCACAGGGACGCTCCTCCTGGCTTTTCCACAGGCCACTTTAGTTCCCTCTGCTGTTTCAGGTGGGAAATCAGACTCTGGTGGTCAGAGGCACAAGAAGTACTGGCCTGTGCCCCCACACTCCTTTACCCTTGACCCCCTTGTTCCTGGTCTAGCCCTCCGGCCTCAGCCCTCCCTGGCTTTACACTTCACAGCTTTATACTTCAGGAGCGAAGGTTCTTGCTGGGCTGGAGGATCCCCAGTTTTAGATGGAAATTTCTCGTGCAGTGGGGAGCAGACCGTGCTCTCTGGATGACCTCTCCCTTGCCAGGCCTGTCCCCCTGTGCCTTCCTTGGGTTGGGCCTGAGAGGAGAGGTGGGTGGATTGCACAGAGGTGGGTGGATTCCCAGTTTGTGCCGCATCTCCTCATGTGGATCCCGGGGTGACCTTTGGGGACCAGTGACCGCTGGCTCTGTCACCGGGGGGAACAGGGCTGGCATGAATCCACAGGTTCCCTCAGGCCTCTTTTGGTCTGGGTCTCCCTCAAGGTCCGTGCAGGCATCTGCCTTTGGTCTTTCACGGCCTGCTAGGCTCTGCCCTCTGCCTTGGTCCCCCACGTCCCCTTCAGCCTTAGCACGGCTGTGGCCAGCTCTCAGGCAGACCTGCAGCCACCCACACTGTCCTCCCTGGATCTTCTTTATACAGAGCAAAGTGAATTGCCACTTGAGGCAGGGCGGGGGGAGGGAGAAACTAATTTGCCCTAAGTTTTTAACAGTCGATAAAGCCTTGCTCTACTAACCCTCCCAGGGGCATTTTCATTTAATATGGGGAAGAGAATGCTTTAATTAAAAGAAATTCCCAGTGGTAAAATCTGGCATCTTGAGGTGGAGGAGGAGGCAATTATAAGGAAGAGGCCTCTTGGAGTTCCCTGAAGGTAGTCAGTCCCACCCCGGGGAGACAGTGCCTCTCCTGTTTGTGAGAGAGACCTCGAGGCCTTTCCCCGTAGTAAGGGCCAAGGGATTCTATTTAGGCTGAGATCAGACAGTTTAGAAAGAGCTGGGGATTCTGTGGCCACCCTGGGTAGGGCGGATCAGGAGATGAGATGCTGGTTCCTAGTTCTACAGGGCTCATGGACTCAGAGACCCATGGAGCTACAGGAGGCCTCCAGCCCTAGCTGACATTTTATGGTTGGTGACCCTGAGGCTCACAGAGCTTCCCGGACATGCCCCAGGATGTCTGCTAAAGCTGGGAGTTCCACCACTATGAGAAGCGGCAGCTGAAAGGATCTGCATATTTCTGGCTCATGTGGCCAGAGACACACGGGGGAACCACAGAGGTATTTGGGGGAGGAACCCTGCCCATTCTGAAATTACTAAGCACTCAGCTTTGGTTTTGATGGGGTAGGCGTTAGGATGGCTGAGTGGTCTTTGCGACATGCTTCCATCAGTGTGCCTGTCCCTGCTCTGGTAGCAGGAGGTTCAGGGGAGAGAATAGTGTGCTGTGGACCCCAGGGAACCCCCTTCTTTCCCTGAGGGAAGAGCTTCAGACGTGTACTCCTTGGCCAAGTCCTTGGTGTGGGCAGAGCTAACCTCCCCTTTCCCTGTTCTCAGGTCTAGGGTGATGGGAGTGTAAAGTCTTATTGCAGTCGTGATCTCCCATCCCTGCTCCTAGACGGGCTGCTCCAGGGGTGAGGCCTAGGCCTGGGAACTGGGCAGCGGAATGCCAGGTGGTCCCCAGCCGTGGATTTGTGGGGTAATACACAGTGTCAGTGGAGTCCAGTCTGAGAGAAAAGGCAAGGAAATGTTCCTGAGGGCAGGAGACAGTGGGTGGCCTTTCAGGGACACTTGCTGTGTGGTCCCTGTCTGGCAAATTTTAACTCCAGATCACTACCGCCCCGTGTGTGGTCTTCCTGTTACGGGTGGTACAGTGGCGTGGCATGAAAACTGAAAAAGAGGGTTTTCCTGGCCCCCAGCACAGCTTGATAGTGGAACTTTTTAGAAATTCTTCCAAGGAGAGGTTGCCGAGCAGCAGCTTGTTGAGTCCGGCTGCCTGGACAGCAGGATGGACGCGTGCCTGGGTTTCTCTCTGCCCACCCAGTGCCCAGCAACATGCAGAAAAAGACCCCAACCAAAACCAGTCACACAGGACACAGTCTCCACTCTTTTGATCACTTTTAATGAAGCCAGGGCAGTCGAATAATACACATTTTGGTTCAGGTCACAGCATGGCAGGGAAGGTCTAGCTAGTGATGGCGAACCTTCGAGAGCTTTCAGTGATAACAAACAGCCCACTGTGGTGCATGTGCCACAGGTTTGCCATCCCTGGAATGAGATAATTTCATTCTACATCTTGTGAGAAAGAATAACTTGTATTTCCTTATGAACACTATTTTAAAAAATAAAAGCTCTTCACAACATTATCCAGGAGCTACTGGGGACTGGTCACCCAGTGGGACAGCGGAGGCCGTCCCTGTGGAGGGGCAGGGATTCCTTCACAGTGTGGGAGGCTGTGGCCGCCCACCTTTGCTGTGAACGGTGACAAGCAGCAGTAGGGAATGGGGTGGGGGTGGCAGCAGCCTTGGCATCTCTTCAGCATCTTCGACACAATCCAGCATTGACAGGGTGGCCGGAGCAGTGGGAGAGCTCCCTTCTGCTTGAGGAAGGGCAGGAGGGAGCAGAGGAACGCAGGCCCACGCAGCCTTGCTGACCTGGGATGAGCAGAGCAGAAGTCAGGCTGGTGCTGAGGAGGCCCGGGACCTCGGGGATGTGGGGAGGCGGCTCAGTACGGGCTACATGAGGAGCAAGAGGACTGTGGAATTCTGGACGGTGGTGGACCAGGCTGTCATTCAGATGACTGGGGCCCCTGGAGGAGGAGGCACAGAGACTCAGCCAGGTTCAGGGTGGGGGACAGATGTCTCCTCACACTGAGCTGAGAGAGCCATACTGGAGCGAGGGCACGAGGACGGACCTGGGCCCCTCAGTTACACGGGGAAAGAGATTGGCATAAATGAGTCAGGGTTGTGGAGTTTCCTCTTGCGTCCACTCATTAGCATATGGTTCTTGGGGTTACTTGGCCTCAGTTTGTTCATTTCTAAAATGGGGAGTAACAACTGCTCTTCACAAGCAGGAGGCTGAAATGAGTGTCTCGTTACACAATGTTTTAGGCCATTGGTATTAACAACAGGAACTTGTAAGAGGGGGAAAGTGTTTGGTGGGTCTAGATTTAGGGTTTAAAAGCAGATCCTTGTGGGGAGGTTTGTTCTCCGAGCCTAGGGACTCCACCCTGCCCCACCCCACTCGGCTCTGATGGCCTCTCACCTAGCTGGACCACAGCCGCAGAGTCATGAGCAGGTTAAATCCACCCACTTTCAGGAGGAGGATTCGGAGGCCCAGCACGGACAGGTTTTGAAGGTTTAGGTTCATATCTGTAAAAGGAAGAGGCCGTAGCTGTCATGGGCATGCACACCAGAGATCTGCACAGCTCCTCAGGACCCCAGCGGCTCGCCCCAAGCAGGTGGTGAGCGGCTGCTCCTGGACCTGCCTTGGCCTTTGAGTGTCTGTGTACATGCCATGCAAACGTATGTGTGTGCTCCTCCAGAGTCAACAGCGCTGTTTTTTTTTTTTTTTGTTGTTGTTGTTGTTTTGAGACAGAGTCTCACTATGCAGTTCAGGCTGGCCTTGAGCTCACTTTGTAGCCTAGGCTAGTCTTGAACTTGCAACCATCCTCCTGCCTCAGCCTCCTGAGTGCTAGGATTACAGGCATACACCACCATGCCCGGCATCAGTGCTTTGTTTTAAAACAAAAATACCAACTGGACTTGGTCTTTGTTTTATTTCTGAGCCCTTCTGGGGGTGGGGACCGGGTAGATGTTTGGACTTTGTCACCACAATCCCAGGGGTCTAAACCACTGGAAGGATCCAGTAAGAACAGTTCATGTGGAAATGAGAGTAGGTGGCCAGGAGTGCTGGGGAGTTTTGAGTGACAGGACCTCTGCCTACAGCCTGTGTGAGTTTCTTGGAAGAGGGCAAACCCCACGCCTGTGGAGGGAAAGTGTCCTGAGTGTGGCATGGTCGGTTCAGAGCTGTACCAAAAGGGCCGGGCATCAGAAATGTCACAGCCAGACGCCCAGCAGCTCTCTTTGGCTGTCCTGTCCATGAAGATACTGAAAGGAAAACAAGCCTAGGAGCGAGCCATTGGCCTACTTAAAACTGGAGACTCGTCCTCAAATAGAAAAGAGAATTAGATACTCTGGGAGGGATTCAAGAATGATCCCTTGCAGCTTGGAGCAGGGCTTGAGCTGTTGTTCCCATTCTTTATGACTTTATTCCTAGAAATGCGCCGGGCCCCTCCTCTATCCCCAGTCTACGTTCATGTGGGTCCATCACCTCCCCAGTGACGTGCAAAGCTGGGCTGGGCCCCCCTCTTACCTGTTTCAAAGCCTTCTCCTACCAACGTGGCATTACAAGGAAAGTCTAAAAGGAGAAACAAAGAAATTTTCTTAGAGTCCAGAGTGTGCTGACTGTCCCGCCCCAGACCTCTTGGTTGCTGAGTATGTGAATACAGTGTCTACAGCCTTTCCGTGGTTCCTCATGGAGAGGTCTGGAGGGACTTATGAGTCACCTGCTGGGGGAGACAGGCCCGGCAGGACCAACCCGCTGGTGTCTCAGTGCCGTTTAGCTCGCTCAACAAAACTGGCTGCGCCCAGTACAAGTGACACGGTGTGGGCCCCAGAGAGCCATTCACATAGACCCTGCCCTACAGGCTGCCCAGTAGGGATCCAGTAGAGGAAGTGAGACACATGCATCGGACAAGGGCCATGGAGGGACAGATACTTTCAAGTGTTCCAAAAAGTTTACCCCAGTACCCTAAGTTTGTTCCTTTGTTTTCTCTATATCAGTATATGGGGTGATTACTGACTCAGCTGCTTGGGCAGAGAATCCAGTCACTTTCCTTAATGTTCTATTTTCCTTCTCATCTCTGGGTGGTTCTGTCTTTGAAACCCAAACGGTGTTTGCCACTTGACTCCATGCTACCGCCTATCCCAGGCGTCCATCGTTTCTCTGCTGCAGTTTCCTTTCTCCTTCACTCTTGGCCTACCGCCCGCCCTCCACACAGTAATCAGCCTGCTCTTTTAAAAGAGTGAAAATTAGGATTTGCTCCCCTGCTTACATGAGTAGCGCTCACCTGAGCTGGGGTAGAACATATTCTCTTGGAAGACATTTGTACAATTAAAATCGATTGTGTTGCTCCAGGCCACGGCACCATTGCTCTTGGAATCCAGCGACGTCATGTCCAGCACAGTTTGCTCGGTGTGAGACACTTCGGACCCCATGGCTCTTGTCACATTGAGTGTAGAATCAAAATCGGTGAACAGGCAGACGGAGACATTTCTGGATTTAGGGTTTCTCAGCTGGTACACGGCAGGTTCTGTTATATTAATGTCTGTAGGCCAAGAGGACCAGGTTAGGAGATGGTTTGCTTCCTTGTTTGCCCCAACCCAGGCTGGAGGGCAGATTCTAGTGATGGACAAAACTGGGCTCTGTGGGGTGAGCCAGTCTCATTCATTTTAGAAACCAGCTGCTCACGATAGACTGGGACTCAGGAACAGGCATAAGCCGTGAGTCCTGGCCCAGAGCTCAGGCTCTCAGGGCATGCTTTCTGCTAGGCTCTGCCTATTGTTTTAGGAAGTCAGAAATGCAGACTGCTTCATAGGAATTTTTCCCAAACTCAACAAGCTTAATTAACAATAGTACTCTGGTGAGACAAAGCAAGCATAGGAAAAGAATTCAGCAAAGCAAACCATATGTCTCTTCCATTTATTCTACACAGTGGCAGGAAGTGGAGGTTTATGATATGTTAGCTTTAAGTTGGAAGATCTATTTTATCACAAAGATATTTATTTCTCGTTGGTAGTACTTTTAGACTACAGACCACAACACCAGCGTCTGAGCCCTGGCTCTGCTTTTTCCTGGATAGAAGGCCTTTAAGAAGTCATACCTGCCCTTTACTCCTCAGAAACTTCATCTGTACAGTGGAGATGTTGCCTCATCTACCTTTGTAACCAGGCTATTCTGCGAAACAAATGAGTGTTTCTCCACATAAAGTTATACCTAGTGAACTGCACGTACTGAGCGCGGGTTGGTATCGGGAGCTATTGATATGCCAGAGAATCACCGCGGTAATGTGCTCGGAGTGACACACAGCTGCAGCGTCTGCGCTTCGCCCCACAAAGCAGGAGTTGCTGGAGGCTTTTCCTTAGTGCTGAGACTTATTCTTTCTTTAGCGTTTCCACAGGATTTTGTGTTTTTAATGTGACTCTCATTGTTTATTCTTTCTGACCTCCCCCTTTACAAGAGGAAGCAGAGGGTTGCCAGGAGTATTAACATGTTGGGGCCACCCAGTGAGCTGCCAGCAGGGCTGGGATTAGAATTCCTGCCTCTGTGGTTCTCCCACTGCAAGACAAGCTTTCTCAGATCCCCGTCATGCACCCTGCTTGCTGAGCCAGCTGGGGTGGGCTTGGCAAAGCAGACATCCAGTTGTTTCCAAGCCCAAAGAGATCAGCCCTTGGCGTGATCCTGGGGTGCTGAGTCAAGGCAGAGCTACTGGGTGTGAGGCCGCCCTGGAGCAGCAGAGCTGGGGGTGGTCTCAGGGTCAGGCATCCAGGGCTTGGATGTCCTTCTTCCACACAAATGAGGTGGCACTAGAGCTACTTGATACTTTCAGCAGCCCCTTGCTTACTTTTACCTCCGTATACCTCTAGTGCAGTGTTACCTTTTTTTCTTAAAATAAGAAACGAGCCACTTTTAATTTAGAGGTCTTTAGGGGTCCATCTGCTAGAGCCCTGTGGGGACGAGAGACATCCTGTTCAATCCTGGCAAGAAAAATACATTCCACTACTGATAATATCAGAAGGTAGCCTTACCAAGCCTGGATCAATTTTTCAGTGTGGAAGTTCAAGATCCCAACCTGTCATCATAATTCAAGACTAACCGCAGAAGCACATGTCTGAGTGCTCTAGTGTTTTAAATCCCTCGGGGCACAGCAGTGATTGAGAGCTCCTTACCACTAAATCTGTGCTCTGTAGTTAGACACTAGGAACCCGGAAGTGAGGGTGAACAACGCAGAGCTGGCTCTCACAGAGCTCTGGAGAGCGTCAGCGGGGAGCATGGGCAGATGTCTCAGGAATAAGGCAAATGCTGGTGTCTTTGCCAAAGTGCTCCAGAAAGTGAACCCCTGGACGCCACTCTCAAAGCTTCCTTACTGAAAGCCTCCTTCTCCTCTTCTGAAGGTGGGGTCACCCCTCTCAGAGCCCACTTTGGGAGGAACCGTCCCTGGGAAGGGCTGACCTCTCCCTTTCCATCTGGTCTGCATTTCTAAATTGGATTCTCAATTTCCTGGTGGCTGACTCTGACCCTAATTTATAAATTCTCTTGAAGCCTCCGATGTTCCTTATTTGCATTTCTAAGAAGACACCTTCTTTGCCTGGCTCTGTCCTCATCCAACTTTATTATCAGATGTGTTCACTGAGGCCAAAAGGCATGTTCACTCCCAACCCCGCACCTACTTCCTTGTTATCCTCTATGCCTAGAGTTCCGCTCTTCTCTCCCTGTACATACAGCTTTACGAACCCTTCAGGGCTTAATGAATCTTTTCTACCACAAACATGTCTGCATTGCCAAGGGCAGTGATACAAACATTTTAGAGACTGACTGCTCAAACTATAACCCAGAATTCACGTATTTATTGCTAAGTGCCAACACTGAAATTAAACCTGAATGCTTGGCTGCTGGGGGGCTGCTGGGGTGACTTGGCTTCTTTGCCAACAGAGAGGCCCTGCACGCCTGTTGCAGCATGCCTGTCGTAGGTTCCCCACTACTGGTCTAGGGCAACTTTCCAGCCAGGACCCTTAGCTAGCTGAATCTCTGTTGTGCCTATTGACATCCATTGTTAATAATAAAATACTTTTCAGCTTGCTAAATATACAATACTTGTGTACCTTTGGCTAGTCTTTATACTACTTGGGGACAGATCAGGCATCTATCTTAGGCTTCTTCACACTCTGACATTTTACAGAATGATAGCCACTTTGAAGGCATTAAAAAATCCATTGCATGATTAAAGTTGTGCGTCTGACCCAGAGAAACATAGATATTCTCGATTGAAAGTGGTGCCTTTTCCCTTCCCAAGCCTCTGTAAGACAGTTAGTCACAACCACCGCATAGTAATAATGGATACCATAGTAATAATGGATACCCCCAAGGAAAGGATGAATGACACTGACCCAAGAGGTTGTAAACGATGCCACCCAGGATGACTCACCAGCTATTATAGACACTTGGGTCCCTTCCCCAAATATGAGTTTACCAGCCATTCCTCCATGTTCACACCACAGGCGACACCATTACAGAAACTCACGGGATCTACCTGCTACTTAACCAGGAGAAGCATCGATCTCCCACAGGCCAGCCACACTCCTAGGAGGTAGACCTTCTGTTACTGTGTATTATGATTCTGTTTCTGGTATGTGCAGTTCTTTTCTCTTGCTCTATTCTGCTCTGGTACCTTAAGTTGAGGTTGAAAGTTCAAGAGATTTCCATAAACCAAGAATTTAGTAGAGTAAAATTCCCTGTTCAGGGCAACCGTATCTTGTATCCTCTATTGGAAGTTCCAGGACCACAAACTTAGCATCTGCCTCATGGTTGCTAAGGTCTCAGTTTAAGGGTAATATCTCCAGAGTACCGAGTGCGAGGCAGAAGGATTTTCTTGGGATTGATAGAAAGAACCACTTAGGATTCCACAGAAGAAAATACCTGGGCTCAAATCAGTATCGTGGACAAAGAAGAAATACCTGTCAATTCCACCCTTGCCCCACTCTACTTACTTGGATGCACGTTCAGTTTAGTCCCTGCTCCAAAGATTAGCTTGCTGCCACTGTTATACCCCACCGCAGGTAAGGTCTTTGCGATAACCTTCTTGATGCTAACTTGCTGGAACCATTGGGGCCTCAGAGTACTGTCCTAAAATGCTCTTGAGGGCTTGGTTTCTTAGATCTCCTGTTTCCCAAGGAAGCTGTTTCACTTTCTTTTTGCAATCATGTAAACTATCGTATAACCAGGCCATGAAAATAATAACTATATTAGAAGTGCTCCCACATGATTACTTGTTATATGCAGGACATTATCTTACATTATGATGTGGTTATTGTCAGTTTGCTGTTAAGTGTGGAGGTTGTATTAAATATACCTGCTGAGGTTACAGCCAGAATATCCCCCAGATCTATCATCCTCTTTATTCATTTCTGCCTCCATAACTTGTCATTTCATGTGACACCTGCCCTCCGAACAAGAGCTTGGGCCTAAGGGGGCCCAGTGGAGTGAGAGTCCATGACTTTCCTGAATTCCAGAAAGGAAGACTTTATGAGCAGATTTTCCTGACCTATGCTCGTTAGTCAACCCACAGAATTTAGCTACCTGCTGGAATAAAAGAGAATTTGTATTTGCCATGAGCTCATTTTCTTCCTCCCAAGGGCACTTAGCTAATTTCCTGGATGTTCAGATTATCTGGTGCTGATATTATCAGCTTCGTTTGAAAGCACAGAGTACCTGAAATTCTTTTCTATACTTCTGTAAATTACTCTGCTCAGATTTTCATGTACTCAATTGGTTCTTGTCACTTCTGACTTTCATATGAGAAATGGGAACATCTTAGGTCACCATGAGAGCTTGTAGAAATGGAAAATTACTGTTTCACATATCCCCGAGTTTGCGATACACTATCGCCTGTTTTCTCATAGACAAATCATCAGTTCCTTTCGTCCTGGTCCGTGGCACAGTCATACTCACATGGGTGCACAGTCAGTCTGGTCCCTGCTCCAAAGGTCAGCTTACTGCCACCAGACTGCACACAATGGAAGGGTGCTTTACAAGAACTCTAACCTGGGCGGAATCACCCTGGCTGGGGCACTCACCGCCTGTCCCTGCTTTCTAGCTTCCTTCAGTCAGCCTTTCCCCAACAGCTAGAGAGAAAAGACTACTTGCCTACTGGATCCGGATATTCAGCTTTCTGTGTGATTGACCCACCAACCTTTCCCTCAGCCAGCCTAGTGCTGTTAGGCCTTGCCAGAGGGCAGACATCCGTCCTGGGTCCGATGGCTGAGGGAGATGGTGGACCCATGGAAGAGTGTGGAGATGAGCCAGACATTAATGTGAGATGGATCTGGAAGGGGAGAACTCCCAGCACAAGGAAACCTGGGATCGTGGTTAGTGCTGGAGCCGAGGCCTGGGAGGGGCTCTCCTTCCACAACGCGGCTTCTGTTATTTCTCGAGGGTACAGAGAGACTAAAATTGCCCTAGGAATATCCACATAAAATGCACAAGGAGGGCTGTCTAACTGCCCTCCTTGTGTTGCGAGTCAGAAGTGAGCTATGCTTGGGGCCTGAAACT